TTCTTTTAAATGTTTATTTAAAAAACCTTTGATAGAAATGGAATTCTTAATTAATTAATTTGTTGAATCATGACTTGTCTGTGAATCACATCCAATGAATATTGCGTAGGACATTCGAGAGACAGAGAACCAGAGGTAGAAAGAGAGAGGCAAAGAAAGTGTGCATAGTAAATAAAAATTAATATGAGGTAATTGGGTTCTTTCGGAGCCTCTCAAACTTATTTTATTCATAAAACTAATCCCCTATTTATAGGGAAAATGATACAATATGAAGTTACATATTGACCCCTACTTTAGTGGGGGTGTTAAAGGGGTGTTTCAGATATTTTTCATGTATGAGTCTGTCATTCAAACTGTAGGTCGTCCAGCTACGGGTCTTCTAAGTTGCAAGTCATTCTAAGAAATTTAGCTTGACATATTTTTGTTATATAATATTAAATAATAATAATTTTAAGTATAGATAAATTCAAAATAAATAAAAAGACAAATTAAAATATTTTTTTTGTCAATTATTAGATATTGTAGGTAAACAAACTATAAAATAGACTCATCTCTCACTATACGAATTAGTGGGAGACAGCATCCAACCCAAGTCTCCAACCATGTCTTTGGGGATACTTTATTTAGTTTGAGTTGGTTGGGGTGTGATATTCTAGGCCTCCTTTCTCTTTATTATTTTACACTCATCAAATCTTGATCCTTTCCATCTGCATCAAATATTGTGTAGATTAATTCTTTCCCACTCACAAATTTACGTAGAGAAATCTTTAAGGCACATTTTTAAAATTTTTTTTTCAAAATAAATACATATCACATGAAATTTTGATATTTACAAATATAACAAGCAAGTGATTTTTTTGAACAATCAAATCGATTTATTTAGATATGCCATGATCAAATTATTAAAAAATTAATAAATATAATTATTATGACTTGTGGTTCTAACTGGAATTTTGATATTTGAGTGATAATTTGAAAAATGGATGAAAGAGTCAACACGAATCTTGAGGCATGACATGAATCCCGAGACAAAATTTTAGGTTAAAGAACGTTTAAATTTTGATTCAAAATCATTTAGAGCTCTGATAAGAGCAAAATTATAGTCAAACTAACTGGATCGACGAGATGGACCAAACATACAAAAATCAACCTAATCTGAGTTGAATCGAGCCCAAATTAAGTCATTTTACTACTTTTTTGAAGTTTTTCAAACATAATTGGAAAGTCAAACAAATGTCTAACGTTGCATGTTTATAGACAAATTGAGCATCTTGGCAAGATGAATCCATCGAGCCCAAAATCGCTCGATTCTAATATCGTTAAGAAAATCAAAGGTCCACCAAACACCGTCCAATCATGGGGATCTCTCTGGGACGTCCTATCAAAGTGGATTGGATTCTTTCCATATTTGCAATTTGGACTCTATAAAAAGAGCCCCAATCCCCTCATGAAAGGGGACCAAGACCCAAAGCGAGAGAGAGAACAAAGTTTCCATAAAAGGGAGCTGTAGCTTGGGATGTAAAAGAGTCGAGTCCAGCTCGAGCCTCCCTCGACTTGAGATTGAAATTGATTGATTTTATTGAGCTCGAGCTCAAGCTCAAGCTTAAGTTTATGAGCTCGAGGCGGCTTGAGGCCAGCTTATTCTATATAAAAAAGAGAAAAAGATATTAAATTTAACTTTATAAATAACTTTATAATAAGTTTACAAATAGAATTACGAGATAAATAATAAGAAATCACGTAATATACAATAAGAAATTTTATTTTCTTAACATTTTTAATAACTTCAAGATAATTTTTTTAAAATTTAATATATGTTAAGTATATTTTATGTTAACATGTTTTTAAAAGAGCCGACTCACGAGCTAACAAGTAGAGATGGGGCTGGCTTGAGCTTGGTTTGTTAGCTTATAGAGATGGGGCTGGCTTGTGCTTGGTTTGTTAGATTATAGAGCTCAATTCACGAGCCACTTATCGAGCCAACCTCGAGTGGGCTCATGAGTCGGCTTGACTCACTTAAACCTCTAGCTGCAGCCTAGCCTCCTACATCACTGTCTCAAGTTGCCGCCACCTTACAGCCGCCCCTACGGTCTTAGGCCACCACTGTCGCCTTCCTCTAGTTGTCGCTACTATCGTCGCCTTAGAGCCACCATTGCGTTCTGACCGCCACTACTTGTTGATCGTCGTCATCTCAAGATGTCACTGCCTTACGACCGCTGCTGCCACGTCAGGCCATTGTCGCCGCCCTTTAGCCACTACCGCCACCATCTTCTAGCCTCTGCAGCCTTTCGATTGTTGCCATCTCAGGTCATCATTGCATTCATGACGCCACCACATCTTAGGCCACCGTTGTCACCTCTTGGTTGTCACCACCCCTCCAGCCGTCGTTGCCCTCTAGCTGAAGTCATAGGTGCCACCTCACAACAGTCATCATTTCAGGTCATCCCCGTCTTCAGGTTGTTGTCATCTCTGACCACCTTCGGCCTCCTGCCGCTGCCGTCTCAGGCCGCCATCGCAGTCACAAGCCATGCTGCCACCGCCTTTCGGCTGCAGTCACCTTTCAGACACCTTCACCTTCTAATCATAGTCATCCTAGATCACCTCAGCATCTCCTGCCATCGTCACCGCCTCCGGCCAACTCCAGTTACCATCGCCTCAGACCAAATTCATTGTTGGCTCTTTCGGTCATTGCCGCCCTTAGCCTCTGCCGTCATCTCCACTCACCACCACCTCACAGCAATGATGTCACTCTCTCCCTTCCAAGAAGTAACAATTTATTCTACGCACAAAAATTGTAACCCAAAAAATTGTGTAGCGCCTTCCCGCATGTGGGACAAATGAGTGTTCCTGTGGATGTTGTGGTTCATAGCTCGCGCAACTCCAGATTTCGACCCCCACAGCCTATGGACTTTGTCACAGCTCCCCACTACTTCCTACATGACCAACTACGACATACGAGATTCATAGCTCATGCAACTTCACACTAAGGCCCCTGCGACTACATGGACGTCATCACAGCGTGTCACTATGATTTACGTGACCAACTACAACATACTTGGTTCATATCTCGTACAATTTCCAACTCAGGCCATAATGGGCTACAGACGTCATTCCAACTCGCCATTATAGCATACACAACTAACTACAACCTATAGGGTTCATAGCACGAGTAACTCCTGACTCTGGCCTCCACGGCTTATGGACGTCATCACAGCTCACCACTACGACTTATGTGGTTCATAGTCCGTGTAATATCCAACTCCGGCCCCCACGATCTACGAATGTTGTCACATCTCAACATTATAGCTCATGTGATAAACTACAACCTGCGTGGCTTACAACTCCTGCAACTTTCTACTTCGGCCTCAGCGGTCAACCTACGCTCCTGAAACAACAATCTGCGTCTCATATGATCAAACTAGCATGAAACTACTTTCTATGTGACAAGTTAACGCTACAAACACCATTTACAACATTTACGACGACTATCACCTCCATAACAACCGATTACAGTTCTTGTAGCCTGCTTTCATCGAGAACTACATTCATCACAGCTAGGCTACAACTATTATCTACGAACCACTGTTGCACATTTATCATGATTATCTTTGTAACCCATTTTCAAATTCAAGAGAAAACGTGGACCCATGTACTCAAAATTACATAATGGATCATTCATTATTTATAATATAATAAAAGTAATACGATCAGCACACAAAACCAAAAAAAAAAAAAAAAACTGAAATAAAGAATAATCCGCTAAATAATTCACATCCTTATTCTGCTTATAATCACTTTATGAAGCCAATCACCTTGAGGATTAATATTCCAAAATCAAGGTTTCATTAGTATATACTTAATAATTTAAAAAATGAAATGTATTTTATTTGTTTCTAAGGTTGTTGCATCTTTTGGAAATATCTATAAGCTGTTATAAAAAATAAAAGCTAAAAAATTATTTATTTTCTTACCTACGATGATAAATATCAATAGAATTTTAATTGATAAAAAGTTATAAGAATTTTTCGTATTTTGTTTCTATCTCCGTATCTACTCAGACAAAAATCTCATGAGACCATCTTCGTTCACCAAGATTTTACAAGGAATTTTTCAAAATTATTATTTTTTTTGAATTTTTTCTTATTGTCAACATTTAATTATTTGCACATGCCCGTAAAAATTTGGATTTATTATGGAAATTAAAACAAGCAAAACATCATGAAAAAGTATAGTCGATTTAAATATATGTAAATTTGTCAAAAACATAGCCTCTCCTTAATTACAAATCTTCTTTCAAAGATCAACTTTTCTTATATAAAATAGTTTCTCAGAATACAAAAGAAAATGATTTAAATCATAACTTGTCTTTTACCTAATATCCTCAAATAGGGCTGTCAAAACGGCTCGTTGTTCGCGAACAGCTCGTGTTCGGCTTGTTGAGAAGCTCGTGTTTGGCTCGTTCGCTAAGTTAACAAGCCGAGAACGAACAATATTTGTTCGTTCGTGTTCGGCTCGTTTTGGCTCGAAATACTACAAATCAGTTCGTGCTCGGCTCGTTTTGGCTCGAAATACTACAAATCGTGCGTGTGTGTGTGTGTGTGTGTATATATATATATATATATATTTTATGAGTAATAGTACTAAAAAATTTAATTGACTGCAAGGCTACAATGATTTAAAATCAATTAAAAGTATTAATTAAAAAAATAGAATAAAATTATTAAATTAAATTGATGTTTAAAATTTTGTCCAAATTATTAACATCTTATGACTGCATGATTAGGATTGTCAAAACGACTCTTTGTTCGTGAACGGCTCGAGTTCGGCTCGCTCTATCCTCAAAATAAATCTCAAAGTCGCTTTTGGTCCTATTCATCTTTTAGCCGATAATTTTTTTTTACATGCGCTGCATATTTTTATCAGGATTAATGTCTTATTAATACATATTAAATACTATTATAAAACTATGTAGTTTACAAAAAGGATAAGTTCATAAATCTTTTGGGAGCTTACCTCACCTAATAGCTCTCCTCTCCCCCCTCCCTTTTCCCTTTAGGGCTTGCTTTTTTTTTAATGGCGTTTTAATTAGTCCTCTCTCTCTCTCTCTCTCTCTCTCTCTCTCTCTCTCTCTCTCTCTCTCTCTCTCTATTCTTCTGTACTCTCTTTCCTATAATAAGACCTGCCTACCAAAAGAGATCTCTCCTTCCACAAGCACATCACACAGCCTGCAACCATGACAGATCCATACACAAATTTCTTCAAAGGTTACTTCAATCACTTCCCCTTCTCCTCCAATTCTCCTCCTCCGCCTCCTCCTTATCCTCATCCCTTCTTACCTCCAAACTCCAGCCTCCATCACAATCACTGCACTTATACTAACTGTAATAATGACCCACCTCCCTCTCCTCCCTTAAGAGAGCCCCTTCCTCTTCTCCGACAGAGCCCAGCTTCTTCCACTCTCCATCATAAAGAAGAACTTCTTAATGAGGAAGATGAAGAGGAAGTGACAGTGGCTCTTCACATAGGACTTCCCAGTCCAAACGCAGCAGATCTAATCTCAAAAGTCTCCTGCACCCAACAAGGAGGAGAAGAGACCGAAGTTGTTGAAGAAGAAGCAGAGGTTCCATTAGCCTACACTGAGAATTCTATAGGGAAGCTCAACAAAGGCCAGTACTGGATTCCCACTCCTTCTCAGATCCTTATTGGGCCTACACAGTTCTCCTGTCCCGTGTGCCTCAAGACCTTCAATAGATACAATAACATGCAGGTCAATTAATTTCTTCTGTTCTATGCTTGTGATTTTCTTTTGAATACTTTGTCTTTCTTGCATGGTGATTGTTACAGTTTCGATTTTGCTGTGAAGTATCAATTCTTTATTTGATGGAACTGTGCAGAGTCAATGTTTCTTGAGCTTTCTTTTTGGTTTTGTTTTATAAATAAATCTCTCTATGAAAATAGTACCCCTCCATTACCGGGTTCGTTTGGTCCACAGCTTCAAATCTTTAAATTCAATAAAGGTCTCCTTCTGTTTATCTCTCTCTCTCTCACACACACACCATAAGAGAGAGGGGAGAGATAGACAGAGAGTATTTCTTGCACATTTAGGAGTGAACTTTACTGTTGGCCTTGCTTTTGTAGTCTTTCGACTGTGAAAACACTAGCTAGATGCAGTTCTTTCTGTGCTCTTGATCATCAAATGACTTCCAAGTAAAACTGTATGTATATCTTCAAATCTCAATATAAATTATCTCAATATTATCCATTTATTCAGGAGCTGCATTCAAACTCTGCCAGTATTATCTTTTTCTCTCTCACCCTATACTGCATAAAAGAAATATCTTTCTTCCAAATTTAGCAGTGTGACAAACATAAATTTTCAAAAAAATGCAAAAAAGTTACTTATTTAAAAGAAAGGCAAATATTTTTTTATAAGGCAACGAATAATACAACAACTAACATGCAACTATCTAAGACAAAGATAAAAGATGTGCTCGATTGAATGCATACCAAGTACATATATCTTACAGTCATGCGAAACAGATTAGTATAAGTTACCTCTGAGTTAATTATTCTTCTGACAATCCGAACTTTATCTTATATATTGGCACGTATACATAACAACCAAATCAATTTACTCATTCTACATATATAATCTTCTAATCAGATGCACATGTGGGGACATGGCTCGCAATACAGAAAAGGACCAGAATCTCTTCGTGGAATCCAACCGACGGCCATGCTAAGGCTACCATGCTACTGCTGCGCTCCAGGTTGCAGGAACAACATAGACCATCCTCGGTCCAAGCCTCTCAAGGACTTCAGAACCCTGCAAACACATTACAAGAGAAAGCATGGCATCAAGCCATTCACTTGCAGAAGGTGTAATAAAGCTTTTGCAGTGAGAGGAGATTGGAGGACACATGAAAAAAACTGCGGCAAGATTTGGTATTGTGTTTGTGGGTCAGATTTTAAGCACAAGAGATCTCTCAAGGATCACGTTAAGGCATTTGGTCATGGCCATGCTGCTTATGGGGTAGACTTCTTGGACGAAGATGATGAGCCTTCTTCAGAGATTGAGCAAGATGGAGGCAGTAATGGCGTGCAGAGTTGTGAAGGGAGGTGAGTGAGCAAATTGGAGTGGTTTTGTTTATTGGTGATTTAGATAAGTTAATTAATCTTATGGAACATGGTTTCATCTAGCTTGGCTAATAGTTTTATAAATGGTTTCGAACAAGTTTTTGCTGCTTGGTTACGAGAAGAGTGCTTTGTTTTGATCAAGCTAGCATCCAAACAACTTTGAATGAAACCTGACTGTCTATTTTCTGGTTACAAGAATTTTAATTTTATGTCATGGTTAAATTTTATATTTATTATTAGTAATCTATTTTAAAGGGGATTATCTTCTAAACACACTTTGTAGTTTAACGTACGTCCTTGTTGTTATGTTTTTGTTCTGATTGGAAATAATTATTCAATCATGTTGTCTGGGAAAATCTTGATGGCATGTTAAACTCACATCATTAAAAATTATATTTTTCAAAATAATGAAAAATATGATAGGGATATTGCTTTTAATTATAATTTTTAAAATGATAGTTTATTCTTACTCACTGTTGATATTCAACGTGTTTTCTGAACTTGTACTTCTCTCTTCTGTTTTTAGGTATTATATAATATTTTATCCCCAATTTGTATTTTATAATTAACATTCTCTTAATTTTAGCCAATAAATTACAAGCTAATCTTAATTAGTTTCCTTATTAAGATTAAGAAATAGGAGAATTTACAGAATAATCAATATCTTAGTTTAGAAATAATAAATATCCATAAACTTTAAAATTATATAGCGTCAGACATTTTTTTTTTTTTTTGGGAAGATTTGGAATCCATTCCATCCTCCTGTTTATTAGTTTTATTTGGGAAATTTACATATGTACGTAGCACATAAATAATTCTTATGTATTTGCATATCACTTATCTAAACTTTTATATTTACGTACATAAAAAATTATAAAAATACTATTTTTTATGTCATATTGAGGATTTGAGTGCAATGTATGTAAATATGATGAAAGTTTGGGCTTTTTTTTTTTAAAGAGTCCAGCAAGCTTATTTCACTTATTTGTCTCTTAATTATATATTTTGAACTCCCGGTGTTATTCTCTCCATGCAGCATTATCTCTGCAAAGAAGAACAGAACTAAAATCACTGCTCAATTTTTATGTATAAATTTACCTATTTACACTGAATATATGTTCAAGTTTACATCTTTTAAAAATTGTTATTCTTTGATTTGCATTTATAGTAACACATGCCAATCTGTTGGCTAGTCATCTCCTGGTTTTGGTTTTTGTTTTCTAAACAAAGAAGCATAATTTCAGAGATGTGATGCCAATCACAGGTTAATTATATATATATATATATATATATTAGTTTAGGGTTTGGAGGTTTAAAAGTAAAGTTACAGAAGCAGTTGATGGCTGTTTGATTAATTAAGCACCAGTAAGAATTTTTCAGATGTTTCATCCTTTCAGACATGAGGCCAAATGAATAGCTGTAAACGCATCTACTTTATACTTTTATCATGCTTTTATGTGATCTGAATATTTTTGCTTAGAACACGAATAAAAGATTTTGGTTTTTACTGAAAAGTCTTTCTTTATTTTTTTTTCTCGGCTCTTTCTTTTGTCAGGAAGTTATTCCATCGAGCTGCCATGCTGAGTGTACGCGAATATAAGCATTTCTGGCCATTCAATTTATCATATAGCATCTGCATTTACTGAGAAAAAAAGATATTTTTTTACAAATAAATATTAAGTCAACGCATTTGATTATTTTTTCAGCAAAATATGCCGCAAAAAATATTGATGCAGCCCGTCATTTTTATAATGGAAACAGTGTTTTTTATATTTATAATGCCACATAAAAAAGGTGCTTTTAATTAAATTAAAATTTAAGTGTAGAAATAGTTTTCTGTTTGGAATTTTTCTCTCTGAAACCTGGAAAATTAAGGTGCATGTGGCACTAAAAATAATTATTTAAATTGCATCGAGAGAGAGAGAGAGAGAGATAGTGTTGATTAGACATTTCAAGAACAGTACTTCCAATAGTCTTGCATGAAACGTAGAAAAATTCAGTCTGTGAGCCGAAGAGAGCAGTCTAGAAATCGATTGCTTATGTTCCACACTTTCCAGTCTGCCTCTGAAAGTCTTTAATCGAGCTTCACATATGTTCCTGCTGCCTTAATTATTAAGAAAATACTTTGAAAATTTTTTCTCCACTTTTATTATGTTTTTTTCTTATCTATGTTTACAAAACATCCCTTCAATGATTCATGAAAGATTTGAAATTTGAAGATTTAGTGAAAGATTAATAATCAAATTCAATTTCAATGAAGTCCTTGTTTGACTTTTGTTGACTACCTCTCCCTCCCTCTCTCTTTCTCTCTCTCTTCTCTCTCTCCACCTACCCCCGGCCCATCTCAGACAAACAGATTTTTTTTTTTATTGTGAGATGACAAAAATTCTCTCAATACTACGGCATTCCATCCAAGCGTCCAACTTAATACGGGTGGCCGAATCAGATGATGGCTCACTTTTGTCAAAACACTTGACAAAAATTTTATGCTTATCAGTTTCATATTGTATGACAAAAAAACTATATATATATATATATATATATTCTTATATTATGAATGGTTTGGCAAGATAAGTGATGTGGATTTCTATATCGCTAAAGCTAGTTTTTATTCTTAAATTTTTTTAATGGAAGTTATATATTTTATATAATATATTATAAATGAAGCACAATGCTCGCCATAGAGAGAGGCATAGAAGGCAACAAATCTTTTGGCATAAGAAATAATGAATGATTTTATAAATGTATATATTTTTCTAAGAAGTAATAGATGTAGAGGCTCAAACTTATTATGGTTTTGATGATAGAAGCAGAGGTATGAACTACTACGTCAAAGCCAGATTCATATAAAGTTAGTCCTGCCATGGCCAAGAGTTATAAACTTTATATTAAGAATTTCAATTATATAATTTTTTTTTTATTTTTTTATTTATTTCTTTTGTGGGATTCCTGTGCACTTCTCTGGATCTTTTCATGTAAAGTTGTGTTTTGGGGTTTTATGCTGTATGAAGTGTCGAGTGATTTGTACATTTAATTCTAAGTGAAGCCTTAATAATTGAATTAAATTTAATGCATTGTCTTGGTTGGCCAGTATACTAACCTTATTTACAATGCCATCTTTTATAAAAGAGGATTGATATATGATGAATGAAATTATGTTTCTTGAATGGTGTGTGTGTGTGTGTGTGTGTGTGTGTGTGTGTGTGTGTGTGTGTATATATTGTGCTTTCTACCGCTATCCGCTATAAAGACTGTTTGTGTCATGAGTTCACCATTGAAGGAGTTGAATTAAATGTTTTTGTGCTTGGACTAACAAGCACATGATGTGACACATATCTAGTGTAACTTTAAATCATGTAAGAAATTTTTGGGAGATTTGTAGTGTTAACAATGTAATTGAGTAAATAATTGTATTAATATTTCTTGTTCTCATATGTGTGTGCATATATATATATATATAATTAGATATTTGAGGATATTTCATTTTTTTTCAATTTAATAAATTCTTCTTATTTATTCATGATTTTAAATTTAAGGAGGGCAAGAAGAAAGTTAGAGAGGACAATTTCTCACATGCCTGTTTTAAATCGACCATTGTTATTATGAGGACTCACATAAGGAATTAATTTGATTTAACCTTTTTATAATTTATTGAAATGCAACTTAGCTGGATATAATATCAAAGACTTTCATTTACTTTCAAACAACATTAAATTTTTATTTTCGGATCCATCACATTCTAGTTTTACATTCAGCTTGTATCAACTGTACTTTGTCCTCATATATCTTCTAGCACTAGTCCAAATGTTTAAATAATTGGCATATAAAATACCTTAAAATATAAATTCTGATTATTTCATTCAATACCAAAGCTCTTCACTTTTATACCTCAAATCATCCTTAGATTTAATTTTCTTTTTTTTTTTTGTTTGTTTGTCTGGATTTATTTTAAATCCATGCATTAAGCAGTAGCAGTTGCTGTAGCAAAATAGTCGTCGCGGTTTTCATCTCCCTCAATTGGAGGGTGGCCACAATAAAAGTGGATGACACTGTTTCAGATATCTCGGCTCTATTGTTCAAAGTGGTGGTGATATATAGATGGATTTTAAATAGTAGAATTCAAGTTGATTGATTGAAGTAGAGGAATGCATCGAGCCAATAATAATAATAATAAAGAACTAAATTACCTTTAGTGTACAAAAGACAAAATTGTTCATGAGCTAGGCAACAACTTCTCATCACACCGAAAACACAACAATTTGGCTCACTCCACTGCCACAAATTTCTTATTCTGCTTGCCAGTCATGCATGTAAAAGTATTTATTTCATTAAATTTTCTTTCTTAGGTTGAAATGTAACACCTAGAAGTCATACACATATTTATATTGAATTGAACTATGTTGATTACACTTTATGATGTGTTGATTTTTGTGATGGTTTAAGTTATTTATGGATATTCGTACACCAAAATGTGGATGTACAGTAGAATTTATTGATATAGAAAAGCAATCACTGAAGAGTTCTTGAATAGTGTCGAGGATTTCGTGGCAGTGATATCTGATCTTTCGATGTATATCTAATGTTAGGTTTCAGTCTCCATATCGAAACACAAAAATACATATATGATTTATATTGTCAAGGATTTAAATATGATTATTGGATTTGGACTTCACATGGCTAGGTTGACTCTATAATGTGTAAGTTTGCTCCTTCGATGAGTTATGACCCTTAACCTAAATTTCAATCAAGTCAATTTGAGCAAATGGTCTGTGATTTGTTGTCCACACAAATGATTAATGAAAGTGAAAGACTTAATAAATTTTGATATTTATTTAAATTTTTTACTTATTAATCTTATTAATTACCTAGGCGGCCTGTTATCTGCTATCCACACATAAATGATCTGACTGTGGCCTGTGGGTACTCGTGTAACTCAGCAGTAGTTGGTTCCCATAATTTCTCTAGTTTCTATCAGTGTAATGGAATAGTTAGCATACATTTAATGGAGAATAATATTTAATGCAAAAAAAAAGGTCTTACCAGCCTCCTATTGTACTCCGTATATGGGAGGGCTCCACGAGCGTGCTTTGAGACCCCCATGGCCCCGCAGTCAGAGCAGCAATTTAGCTTTGTTTTCTCCCACTTCCTCTAATAAATTATGATCTTTTTATTTTA